CTCTAGCTCGTTAATCGTACTCTGTTTTCGTTCTGTCATCAGTGCTGCCCTATCTGCTTCTATATTCGCGGAAATGATAACTTTGAATAGTTTGTGAGGAAAGCCATAAGGCTGTATTGCTGGATATTGCTATTCCATAGACTTGCATGCTACACAAGGTAGAGGAGGCCTGATGCAATTTTTCCCAATTCGCGCGAGATAAGCATCCTCAATTCTGCGATGCTGCGAACTGTCCTCCGTTTCAGAGCGCGTGGATTTGGAGAGGAAATGAAGAGCAGGTGGTCGACGAGACATCCTCATGGATCGAGCCACATCGCGCGGCGTTTGCATTACACAGCACGTACGTAGCGGACTGCTCAAGAGCTCTTGTCTTATATTTGTGTTTGGCGGAAGCTAAGGGACATCAGGCGCACGCACTTTTTTCGTGGTCAAGTCGGCCTCCAACGTCTCGCGCGCGCACACCTCTACCTTGAGTTGTGGTCTACTGCGAAAGGTAATTACCTTTCGAACTGCTTATTTTGTCCCATGCGCTATCCGCGCCCGCACGAAACGACACATACCTCTCAGATGTTCGTGGAGCTTTCATAAGCGCCTAGATGAAAAATTTCTTGGGAAAGCAGAGGAAACTGATGAAGCTGGTAGTAATACCTACATCGTCTTTGAAAGTTAAACTGTCTCAATAAAACTATCCGAGCAAGGTTCTAAGGCTTTGCTGCAAGGATCCTTGGTACCAAAGAAGTAAACCACTGCGGCAGGTTAGGGATATCGAAGAACCCAAAAATGCTTCACGTTATCATTTTATTTGCACTTGACTACCAAGTGTCGAAAGAAAAAATATACAAGCTCTCTCTTAAAAGCATTTGATAATCTTGAATCTCCAAAGAAACTTGTTGTCTTGCCTCATTTATTGATTGAAAATTGCGGAAATGTGCGACTTTGAATGTTTGTTTATCAGAAAGTATGTGATCTAGAATGTTATTTGCTCCAGGGTTCCATCTTTCATTTATACTCATTACACTGTACCTCTTCCTTACAACCCGTGAAGAACATTTTGAGAAGAAAAGAAGATATAACACTTTTCTCCGATCATTCTTGAGTGATGGCGATGACTCTTAAGCATATGAAGATGTTCAATGAAATTAACAATAGACAGGACTTAAACGCCTTGTGCCGTGTTTTCAAATTATCTCACCTAATTATGTTTCCGGATTGAGTATTTCTCAATGCCGCTAATGGGACTTTGTCGGGTTTTTTTGCTTGTTTTTGGATTACAACCTGAATTTGGAGAACGTAATAATGCAATTAAGACGTGATTTGACCAATATTGCTGCACAAGCTTTGACTGCCCTGAATTTTTTCGAAGGATTTATGGAGCTAGTAACTGTGGGTTTGCCCTAACTCTTCTCAGTATTAACCAATTACTTGTCCTTTTTATACATTTTCGCAAACAATTAATCATATATCCAATAAATTTCTTCGAAAGAAAATTAGATAGTATGGACATCGTTTTTCATATAAATGTTGTTCTGTTACTGAACTATCAAACGAGTAAAATAATTGAATGGGCCATCGTTTTCATGATTTTGACGTTTGCGAGAGTCTAGAGTAGATGCTGTGGAACAAGTAATGTTTTTAGTTTAGAACTTTTCTTTCTATGAGTTTTGCTCTTTTCTGGATATGGTGAGTAGGGAAGGACATCGTTAATGTTGTTTGGAAACCACAAACTCTTTTGAACTTCTTTTCCTCATAACCAATCAGGTATTCCGGAAAATGCGCGTGAGCTAGATAGTTGGTTTTTTTCTTGCAAATGCAACACTATAATAAGAGTGCGTGAAAGAATGAAATGAAATGAATAATGTGCAGAGCGCTACATCTTGCGTCATGTATTGAGACCAGTTAAGCTATTCGTAGTAACGAGTAACGAGGCGCATGCATATATCCCCTGACTAAGCATATATCATAGTCTTCTACAATCAATTTCACTAGTCAGGGTGTATATTCATGTAATCGGCAATAAGCTCATCATTTGACTGTGATTTGTTGATCTCACCACCACTGTTCAGGAAGAAGTGATAGACGAAGCAGTGACCGAGTTCTACAGTGGTGAATGGAAGAATGATGTTCGCAGTGGTTTTGGCGTATGTGAACGAACCGATGGATTGCGGTATCAGGGTGAATGGGCAAATAACGCCAAAAACGGCTATGGTGTTACGACTTTAAAGGATGGAACGTGAGCGGTTTCAC